CTCTATATGTATTCATACCTGTATAAGTATACCTGTCAAGATAAGGAAACGAAAGTGTCCACAATAAGATAGATACATGACGATCTGTTGCCTTTACACAGGAGTGTGTGTATGCACTACGTCATAGCTGGGAATGGCTGTCAGAGGTCTCAGGCTGTATACATCAGCACATACGTCATGCCGGGGAATACCATCGGGTAAGTCACGTGATCAGCAACGAAAAATACTAGCAATCTAGGTCAAAATCTTGGAATCCCATTTATGATATTAATTTATTCCTATTAGGAATCAATGCATTAATCAATTGATAGTATTATGTTTTTGTACGAATTAATGAAAAGTAATTGAATTGCTGAATAATTAGTTGAATGTCATTAGTTTTTCCTGAGCATTCTTCAAATTATCAAATATTTTGACAGCACCACTGGAACTACATACTACTGTGCATAAAATTTCTTTAAAATGTGTAATATGATTTTATTGATAGTTTTACCATGATATTCAATTCCTGGACGAAGACATGAAGTACTATATGGGGTTAATAAACAGTGAAGGCATGAGATCAAAGGTCGAGACAAGAGAACCGGAAGTCTTTATAAACCACCTCAAGGTATGACGTAACTGTGTGGATTGTGTCACATGCTTCAAATTCGTTAAAAAATGTAAACATCTTTCAAAAACCAGTTATATATTCATGTTTTGCCCATGATTATTAATTTAAAATTTAGCGTTTGTGATTATGGTGGTAGAACAACCATTTCAGATCGTGGGCGTTTTTTTGGAACTCTATCTAACCTGCCTAATTTCTCTGTTGTTACAGGACGTCACAAGGAGGCTGTTAGACTTTCAGGCTCGTGTTGATCGTCTGAGTGACGCCAGTACATCTATCTACCCGGTACATCTCAGGAGAGATCCACCGGTCTATCCTACCAAAGTCAGGTCTCTCGTGGACTACAAAAACCAGGAGGTAGGTACCAAGTATTTGGTTAGGGTATTGTATCACGTGATAGTGTAGAATTCTTCGGAACAAAAATCCTTGTGATTGGTAACTGAACAATTAGTTATCATTTTCTAGTACAGGAAACTAGAAATTAACACAATACTTGGTTAGAGATGGTTAATCTTGTCAAGGCGATCTTCAAATAATGGACTTTATGACATATATTTATAGTAGGTTCAAAACCTCGTAAAAATCGTTGTTGGAATGTATGACATCTAGCTTATGTCTCGTGATTGCGACATACTTACCAACAAGAATTTTCTATATTTAGATTAGTCTTGAAGTTGGTGAAGAGTGCTTCCTCCTTGACAACTCCGACGGAGACAAATGGCAGGTAAGTGGTTTTCTCAAAAATGTATTTATGACGACAGTCACTTTTACGCTTTTAATTTTCGTTTAAAATATCAAATATACATTTTTGAAACTGAATCCTAATCGCCTCCGTTCGACAGGTACGCAGTAAATCCGGTGCGGAAGCGGAAGTGCCCGGTGTTATACTTGTCATTCCTCCCCCAGAAAAGAAGGCCGTCGTACAGGCTCACAGGTTAGTAAGGTTACATGTTTATAAAAGTTTGGGAAACATAGAGCAGTGTTTCTCAAGTGAAGTTTTGGAATAGAAATACAAACTTACAGACCAGTTATGAATATTGTCTTCTTCATCGTCGTTGTTGCCACAAATGTACCTATGTTATAATGTGCTGTCTTGTTTTAGGCAATTTGAAAAAAAGAGAAACTTTTAGTTACCTTCTTGAATTTTCTCTGCTATTTCGTCAGATATTCTTTTCTCTATCGTATTGCTTTTGTTTTCAGGGTAAAAGAACAGATGATAGTCCATTGGGACACAACATTGAAACGTTTGCGGATCCAACTCACGCAATATATCACAAACAGCATTGATGACACGCCATCCTCAGAGGTCAGTGTTAGGGTCAAAAGTCAATGATGTCATATAGACCATCAATGGGACCGGTTATACAATGTAACTTGATTAAGAACCAACCATTTTCGTTCGTAGAGTTCGGCGCATTCAAAACACTTATTAAATCTATGGCTTCTGTATGGTGTAAGTGACACTTTCCTGGTAAGAGGGTTGCTAGACTGTGTAACATTAGCGTTAATATAAATTTTTATATATGTCAGTTAAAGTTGAATAAAAATGAGTGCCTTCACTAATGTGCTATCTTATATGAATTAAGATACAAAAGAAAACAAATATTAAAAAATTAAATAGATCGTTTTAGAGATGCGATTTAGGGCGTCTGTGACATTTCTCACCATATTATTCGAACAGTCATCAATCAGGCACTTGCTATTTTTCTGACGCATGGTGTATTTGTGAATTTCTTGTATTACTTTTTTTTTATCGAAATCCGCTTTATTCCACCTTAAACAGCATTCAATTAGTTTTACTAATAATTACACATTACAAGATCGTCTGGTATTTATGTTTAATTTCTTCCACCACCTCTTTCAGATGGGAAACATTTCTACCTCACAAAAAGCTGACCTAATGAAATTGATGAACGAAGCAGTTCAACTATTGCGCCCCCTTACGGCAGATGATTCCGATTTCCGGGATATGATGTCAAATGTTACCAAATTTCGGAAAGTTCTAAGTCAAGTTAAACCAGGTATATATTTAAGTAAAACAACACAATAAAGTTAATAAAAAATGGCACGTTTTATATTTTACTAAATAGTGAAAACAATTCTCTAAAGAATCCTGATAACGAAGAAATATAACAAATAAGATATAGATACTTGATCATATTCCAGGCAGAAAATTGACAGACGGTCAGGGCTCAGTTTCACAGCGTTCTTTAAGTGAAGAAGTTACGGGAATAAAAAAAAGATAATCCCATAACTAAGAAAGAATTGAAATAAAGACATTTTCTTGGGCTAAGAAACGCTCATGAAACTGGGACCATCCTATGCAAATATACAGAAAACGGAAAAAGGCGATATCTATCGATTTTTTTAAAGATTTATACACCCAGTCACTCACACACTTACTTCAATATGTATACGCTAACTAATTGTGATTGAATTGTACCACGATGGTTTACTTTATCTTTATGTATGACAGGTGACCATGACTCCACCAACGGTTCAGCGCAACGGTGGCGCTGTAATGGCAAGGTCCTAACTCATTACAAGGTGAATACGATTATCTCCCTTGAATTATTATCTAATTTATTATTTTGCTTTAGGAAGCATCTAAAAGCAATATTTTTGCTGTCATTGACACAAGAAATTAAACATTATTTGTTGTTTTAGAAATTTTGTATGGTTTTTATCTGAACTGGCTTTGAAGTAATATTTACACATATGTATTTGACTTTTAAATAAACCTTTCATTGCCTTTTCAGGATCTACTGAGTTACGCCAAGTCTTACAAGGAACACGTAGCCTCCATGCGGGAACAAGAAAAACTCCTAATTAAGGAAACTGTAGAGTCAGGAAACAGGTTCAGTTCAAGGGCCTATTTCGAAAGGTAAGATATTTAACGTCTGCTTTGTTTTTACTGATGATTTGTATTAAATAGTAACAACATTGCAATTAATCATCGCAATTATCATAAATATATTACTGATCCCAATGTAACTATTTCTGTCTTTACAGGGCTTTGCCTTTAGTTGATGTTGATCTGACGACAAAGGAAACCGTGTGGAGTTCAATTAAATCGGATATCTACATACATGAACGGCAAAAGGGTGGGCGACCAGTGGCGCCCCCTAGGAAGAGGAGACAATTGAAACGTGTTGTTTCTGTAGCCACCACTGGTGAATCTGCGGCAGACCTTCCTGACTCTGTAGAGGAAAGTTCCTCATTTGTCATGACAGGTGTTCTTGACCCAAGGACGCGGCAAAAGATGAGCGTGTTTCAAGCCATGTCGCAAGGTATTCTGGATCCGGTTCATGGAAAGTATATCAACCCAGACACGGGAGAAACCATGTCAATACCGGAAGCAATACACAAGGGGTTGATCCAGGTGGATTATAGGGAACATCTGACAAATGGTGGAATAAATGGGGATGGTTTCTCACCACTTAGGAATACTATGGATACAAAGATATTCCCGGTTGCTGGCGTTGTCGACCCGAGAACTGGAGAGTGGATCGGCGTTAAGGAAGCTATATCCGCGGGTATATTAGATCCTAGAGCTGGGAAATACCGGAATATCGTGACAGGTGAGGAGGTTGACCTTTTGGAAGCTGTACGTAATGGTTACCTTGTGGCCGATCCAGCATTATTAGACGGTTATGACGGTAGTACTCCGTTCACTTTTGTGGAGTTTACAGATGTTTCCTACAAGGTAACTGGAGTTATTGACCCTACCACGGGCCAGGAAGTGTCGCTAAAACAGGCGATCACTGACGGCTATATTGACAAGGCAAACTCTCTGTACAGGAACCCTCATACAGGAGAAGAAATACCGCTAGAGGACGCTATCAGACAGGGTCTTATTAAATGCGTGCCGTTACGACCTTCAGAGAGCGCAAATCCAGATGAGATTCTCACAGTACAACAACTTCAAGTCAAACAACAGAAGTTTGTTTCTGGTGACGGTGATAGCATGGACGGTTTCGATGACATTGACGGGCTCAGAAAGAACCCGAATCGTGCCATGTACGATAAAGTTCGGAAACACTTCGATCCGAATGAGAGAACAGTGATTGATCCGAGCGATAACCTTCCTATTTCACTCGAAGAAGCTTTCGAAAAAGACATTATTGATTTTGCCAAGTGCGAATTCAAAACTCCAAATGGTGACAAATTGTCGTTAGAACAAGCTGCTTCAAGAAACCTTATAGAACCAGAACTTTTGAAAGAAATTCTTGAAGCTTACAAAGAAAACAGTTTGGGTGAAATGGTTGATTCTGGAAGATTCGATGCAGGGACAGGACTTGTGACGGACCCAAAGAGTGGGCATACATTATCACTTCAGGCCGCCATCTCTCAGAAACTTGTGGACCCAAATCTGATCTTCCTCTATGACATGCCGTCCCAAAAACTGATAAGTTTGGCTACGGCAATAGAGGAAGGTCGATATGATCCCGCCACTGCGCAGTATTGCAACCCACTGACAGGAGAACTACTTTCACTTTCGAAAGCTGAGAAAGTAGGTGTCGTAAAATGCCGTTTGGATCCTGAAGAAATGGCACGAACTGCTCAAACTCTGGAACGGCTACAAAAACTGATGGACACAAGCATTCCCGCTGTACAATCTCCGTACTGTGAAGGAACAATGACAGTAGAGGAGGCGATAAAGGCAGGAGTCCTTAACGTACAGCAAGGAGAGTTCAGGAATCCCAAGACATCAGAGGTAATGCCCCTTACAGCAGCATTGAAGACTCAGAAAGTTGATCCTCAAGCAGCTGCATCGTTACTTGATGCTCTAGATAAGTTGTCACTGCAGCAAGCTATAGACGATGGATACATTGATCCTACCACTGGGGAGTTCATCTCAAGTCAGGGAGCAAGACCCATTTCAATACAGGAAGCTATTAGTCAGGGACTTCTTAACCTGGATAATGTCTTCGTGGTGGACAAGGACAACGACAATATAGTCTCACTAGGAACACTTGTGGCATCTGGAAGGTTTGATCCCGTCTCAGGAAGCATGATCGATCCTAATACTGGGCAAAAACTGTCCTTGGCCGAAGCCATTGCACGTGGGGTTATCGATGCTGGCATTCGGCCAGACCAGTTCATCGACTCTTCTGTCACTCTCAAAGAGCTTATTGACTCTGGCAGAGTGAACCCAAGGACGACTGATTTCTGTGCTCCAAACGACCACAAGATGTCGTTGCGGGATGCACTAGCAAATGGATTCCTGACAATGAACTCCAAAGTGAAAATGGACCTTGACTCTGGATGTGTGATTCTTGGGTCCGATGAAGAGGTAGTTAGGGCTTTAGTGGACATTCGCGAGAACTCAGAGTGGCTACATGGTATAGAACAGGCTCTCGTTTCTAGACAGAAACCAAGTCAACGTTTGGAGCGGATTCGTCTGCAGAAAGATGCTACAGAGGTAAGCATGCATTTATGTAAATAACATCCCTGAGGATTCATTTTGTGTGAAAACTAGGAATGACCAAAACTTCTAAGAAACATGACAATGGAAGGTTTAATGACGTGATTTGATATCTATTTGATGATACTGTCTACTGCCTTAGACTTATAGCATCAGACTTACTAACTATATCATACATCTCAATGAATTTAGGTTTATCTGTATCCACTAGAAGTGCAGTATAGTTTTACGGCTCATTACGTAAATGGCCATGACTAATGCTAGTCAGTCTAACAGTATGTCCGACCTTATGCATGAATGATACTGACTGTCTAATCGGTTTCACTATGTAACAGTTCATCATGATTTTAAGTATACAACTCAGTACATCTAGTCTAACACAACATAATCTTCTCGCACATTCTACTCGATGAATTAATTTACTGGCTGCTTTTAGCGTCTCTATCTGACGATATGTTCGACCTAATCTAGACTCAATCTAGTGACGTAGTCAAACAAATAGTAACTTCCACAAGCTTCGGATACATAGATTTTCGGCTGTACACAGAACATCCGGGTATATTGCTGTTATAGATGGGATGCTTTTCCATGCCGTTGACACGTTGTTATTCTTATGGTGACACCTGGTCAAAGGTTTTGAGTTCTGAATGTGACAGTGCCTCTTCAGGTAGTGAAAATGAAATAGAGTTGTTTCCCTTTAACGTTAAAAAGAGGACTTCTTTATAATAATTTATGACATGTTAATGACTCTTCACAATTCGTCCCTTAACAGGCAATTAAACAGGTCATATATGAACAACGGATTAATTAGAAAATTGTTAGTTAAAGCAAATGAAAAAACCAGAAAACTTCATGTTATGAGATAATGTACATGTATGATAAATTAAACTTCACTGTTTCATATATATAAAAATAGAGGTCAGTAAATAAATGTCCTTATTCTGATAGAATGCCAGCGATTGGCTGGGCATCTACATGGACAGATTATTTTATACTAAGTACGACTATTTTAAGCTAATGAATTGTAATGAAGCTCTAACACTGAATTGTTTGTATTTTAAAGTTATTTATCGTATTCACGCTCTGATAATTGACAACGAATTTTTATTTACAATCAAATTTTTGGGAGGAATACCCGAGTAACGATAAATGAATTAGGAGAAAAATTAGGAAGATGATACGGAGGAGTTATATTGTATTCCTGTTTTGTAAACTGTAACTCTATATCTCAACAGATGTTTTAGAAGTCGGGGTTAAACACTTACTACATATATTTCTGAATTTTTAAAAAATCTCTAAATGATGGATTTTGTATGGCATTTCCCATATAGTTGTGGACAGTATCTTAATGATATATTCACTCTGACTTGTTCAGATCAGATTCCTTCGGTTTGAAATATGTCGTTTATATACCTCCACCCTATGTCCTGGGATGCAATCTATTAAGACAGTTAGTACAGGTAATTTGTACCTGACAGTATACGCTGTCCAGGTGGAACGTGATTGCCTTAACTGTTTATCCCTGGGCGGATAGTCACTACACTTCACATAATGAATGTGCTGGTCTTACGGAAGGGACAAGAATACTAGTCTCACCTTAAGATGAATCTATGTCGCATTGTCCAGGTACAATCCTCTTGTACCTTTTCGTATATGTACTCCACTACACTTAGGTAACTTACCTAAACTGATATGTATCTACATCATAAACATTCACCTGTATCACCTGTATCTGCTGAATGAGTAAGTAAGTACTATTATTGAATGAACTGCATGCTTTAATTACTTTGGTTTTGTTTATTAGAACATGTGAGTCTTAAATTCTAGTGTAGGTTTGTTTAATTTTCACTACTATAATTGTAGTATATATTTCTTACAGAATGCTATGTCTCAAAGTAATCTCATCAGAATAACAAATATATTGAAAAATATCCTGATAGGCAATGTTGATACAATCAGCCAACAACTATTAATTAGTTCCCGATATCCATTGAAGATGCCACAGTGTAATTAGATATTGCCTGACGGTATTGAAAATAGTCGTATAATTGCATCGTAGGCCATTGTTGGTGGATAAGTTGATATCAGTATATACAGTATTTGTGTGAATGTTTTTTTGGCTAATGGAGATCGGTAGTCATACTCTCAGCGTATAAGGCTTTATTTATAACTTTACAACTGTATTCCACACAGAGATTTACCGTCACCTCTTAGCGTCTTGATAGGGATTAACGAGAGTTTTTCTTTAATTTTGTGTTGATTCCTGTTAATAGGTTTTGGTATCGACTTTGTTCTCTAACGTCCTCTTGATTGCTATATTTATACTCTTGATAACGTGACGTCACACCGTAAACATCCCGACTAACGTTACAGGGCGTGCAGTAACATTCCGGCTATCAGTCAAAACACATCGCATTTCTGTTCTTACCTAGCCGGTCAGGACCCCTATACGTCGTAGACGAGTGTCTGTGTATGGTTTACTGAAGGGTTTGTTTTCCCAATTAAAATCATAATTGTTCCGATGTTACGAAGCAGAGTTTGTCTCGTGTTTTTTGCGTTTGTTCCTCTAAGCGGTTGACCTTTCGTTATGACAGCGTCTTATCCAAGATACAATCATATATCATTATAAAGGACTATATCTGTCCATCTAAATAATCCTGTGCAATTCTATTTGATTAGGATGATAACATTCAAAGCAATTCCTTGTAGTATTTTTCTAATGTTCTATGACTTAATATTTTTGTTTGTTTTTTTTTTTTTTTTTTGCTCCTTTTTATTAAAAGCTTTGTTTCCTTTGGAATACTGATTTGAAAATGTGACGAACACTATAGAAAGTATAAAAAGGCTTTAGAATATATTAAGTGTAATCCTTATTTAAAACAAGGCAATGTTCCCTCTATTATTTCAAAAAAAATATTTCTCTCTTATTATCCTAACACAAGTTAAAGTCTATTTAGTCATAGACTGGTATCATTTATCGTCATGATTACGTCCCGAAACAAATTTCACATGTTTGCGAAAGGTCCCGTGTGCTGGTATTTGTTAGACGGTCTATACAGAAGTTTGGTGTATTTGGCCTGTACGAACCTATGATACCGACTGATTAAGTACGGACCATGGAAATTTAAGCTTCATCAAACAACATCACCTTAACGAGGTCAAACTTCTACTCACGTACCTGACATAGGTTGTAAAGCATGGTTATCCTTCACGCCAGTTTTATTGTACATCCTCAATCACTTTCTCAAGTTATAACAGATAATGCAGAAAAGACGGTTTACAAGATTTCTGTCAGAACGTGCTGATTATGAAATTATGCATGGGTTCTTCGTGCTGAAAGAGACAAAGATCACAATATATTAGACTATAAGTTGATGTTCCTTTGACGAATGGAAGGAATATTGCCTCATTCACAGCTGGAAATACGTATTTATTGACAATATTTATTGTAAAATCGACCACCCATTAAAGGCGATATATATTGTAACACGCAAGTCTTGTTGCTTTATCGCTCTCTCATGGCACCCGCGGGTACCATACCACCCGGCCACAGACCTACCATAGCTGTGTATCGTCAGTGATGCTACAGATACCCTATCATCTTTATATTATTGATGACCATGTACTTGGGCTCTTTATAAGAGTTTTCTATCCCTCGCCTGGCTTTTATGTGGATGCTAAGACGTTTGAGAGCCAGTGGTGCTTGTCATGGTATACCCAGGGATACACACTACAGGAAAGCAAAACGTACTAGGAACAATAGACTTTTAATAAAGTAGGTTCTTTATACAAAGATTAACAATAGTTTACACACCTGGCACATAACCAGCGATGCGTACTCAACTCTTCGTTGGTGCAACTTTTCAATGACACACGTAAAGTTTGTTGTCAGTGGCAGTGTTTGAGAAAGAATGAGTAAGCGTGATGTTTTACTTATAACTCGGCTGCAGACGGGATTAAATGTCTGACGTGTAGTGATTGCTGATTATCTGAAATTTACAAAGACGTTGCCTTCAGTGTTGCGAGCATTGGTGTACCTATTCAATGAGTGATTTGCACATATTTGACAAGACCTTCAGCATGTGGACTACCGATACATACATATCTATTTTTGTTTGGAATCTGCATTCGGACATACATTTCCCGTTATAGTTCCCTACAAAACAGATTACTGGATTCACTGATTAATACAGTAAGCTGCTTGGACACTATATATTTAAATATAGGAAATACAAAGTAGATGCGTGTTGTTGTCGTCCTACAATTTAGGGATTTGCTTTAAACCTATGTTGGTATACCGTGTAAGGACAGTGAATGAACAAGGCAAAATCTACCAATTTTTATTTCATTTTGTGAAATGAGAAAATATAGAATCTTGACCCAGGAAATGTAAATTGTGACTTATTGAAGTTAAATTTGGCTGGATGGAAGTTTAAGTGCTTTCCTGCGATATCATTTCTAAGCTACAATTATCAATTATGACGACGTCTAACATCTCCCATGTTTATGTTAATGGATATTTTATCAAGACGCTAATCAGTTTTCATAGAAGTGCAATCGCTGCAGTACAGCTACTATATAATCTTACATTAACCTAAAAAGATGTGTCGTGACGAAGTTGTTACCCAGTACGAAATGCAGTGAAATCGGACTCCTCTTAATTCAACTGTGCTGACCTTAGTCCGTGTTAGACGATCTGTGTTTTCCTTCACCATCATATAGGAATTACTGTATTGATTGCTTAAGGCTTTTGTTTGACCACAATGAATTTTCATTTTCAAAGGATTATATATACGACAAAAATAGACTGGAAATGAGTATAAACAGCACACCGATTCATCTTACACCATACAAACGACTGATTATGTTGCTGTTTGTTATTTGCAGGCTTTGAAAGCAGAGGTTCAAAAACATGAACCGGAAGTGACCTCATCCATACAATTGTCTGAGGAGTTGATCGAAAATAACAAATCTCAGATGAAGGAAGATGGAGCCCAACAGTTGCAGAAGCTGCGCTTCAATGTGTCAGATCTTAAAGTGCGCTTCGACGCGGTAAGTTTAATATCGAATTGTACAAATATCCTAAGAAAAGAAAACTTCGGTTTTGCAGAATTGCATTGCCAAGACTGCAACTGTAGAAAGTAAAGAAATACGTAATATTAAGAAATATAAGGTGCATTGCATTTAAATAAAGTTTGTACGATTCATATTGTAACCAGAGGAGAGAAAAATCATGCCATACCAAAGACGTTTGAATGTTTTCAATTCGTTGCTATTATAAACATATTTTGTGTATGTTAGGCTTTTGGAGAGACGAAAAGCAGGTGTATTAGGCTTGACAAGATGGCCGATGACCTTGAGGAATTTTACAACTCTCTCCAAGACCTCGACCAATGGCTTGATACAGCCATTGAAAAGTCACAGGACTTACAGACGTCACGGGAGGACCCGGAAATACAACACAGAGAGTATAAGGTGAGCCAATAAAATGATTTTGAAATATTCGGAATATTTATTACATTGCAAAACTATTATGTGAAAATAACAAAACTCTCTAAAAATTAAGAATGTGATTTGATAGAGTCATGACATTTGAATGTTTGAAATTCCAAAGTAAACATACTTGCGTTTCATACCAGTATCTAAAGCATTAAATGCATTGATAATTGGGATATATGATGCAGTTTAACTCATTATTTACCTCTACTATATCCATCAGAATTTATATTAAAAGTTGCTATGCACATGCGTGTCTTTTGTACAATCTTAGAGATTACAGATGGTAGACACTGGTGGTGGTAAATTAGTTCCCGTAGTTTGCCGTAATCTGCATGCCACGTTTTAGTTCATACGAATTGTGGCACGTACTTGACGTTGTTCTAAAATTTTTATATATATGAAATTTACCAAAGTTTCCGAATTATTGGGCTTCTGTACCTCCCAATCTAAGCTTTGACCTTTTTTTTCGATGACTTTGGAATTTAATCAGTCGCCTCCGAGGTATTAAATGTAGACTCTTAGCCCGAGTCCTAGAAGGACAAAACAGCTATATGATGCCAATTGATCTTTTGTTTTTGGCTCTAATGTATCTTATCTAGATTTATGTTAAAAGGCGTTATTCACCTGTGTGTGTTTTGCACAATTTCCTAGCTCATAACCTTGTAGTGCAATCAAAGAGATACATTTGGAAAAACACACATTTTTGTAAGTGCGGATATCGATGTTATGATACGTGGGTACATCCTGCTAGCTACACACATCGTGTGTCAGTTCCTGTTAAAGTACAAGTTAATGTTACAGAATCATTCGACAGAGATGTATGTCAGTGAAGATTAAGTGGTCGTCACATTGTCTCTTTCACCTATTTTTGTGTTGTAAAGCCGTTTGCGGATGTCAAACTTTGCAAAGATCCACACTAAGTACCTATTCTTACGTTACGTGTTGTGACGGTTCATTGCACATAATGACAACAGAAAAAAACTTTTTTGTTGTCTTTTCGAGGATAATGTATAGGAATTAGGACGGAAAATGTACCAACTCTAGTGTTCACACACGAATGCACCCCATATTGTTCCCCTAGTTCTAAGTACTGGCGACCATCCCACATACTAGTTCACCATTTACAGTGATTCTATGTAGTATTGATCCTCTGGGGTATTTTAAAAAATATCAGCGAAACGTTTCTAAATTCGGGAAATATGAGGAAAAACACGAGCGTAGATAATGTTTCAAGTGTGAACACTACCCACTAGATTTCATTACATAAATCTAACATATTATTTAGTGTGTATGTTGTGATAGCTGCAATATTTTTTTTTTCAAATCAATTTAAACATTTTAGGATTTCGTGGAGGAATTACAAGAAAAGGAAATGGAAATGATGCAAACATTTAAGATGGCCGACAGCTTCAGAGACGGTTCTCAGGTAAAAACTAATTGTTACTTTAGATAATTTCATGATGTTTGCGTTCATTTTTCAATCACATCATTTCTTCAGTTCAACGTCGCATAATATTTACTACTACAGATATTGGTTTAAAGACTGCTCCCTAAATTACTATGATTGACAAGACAAAGGCACTGTGATACACAGTATGGTTCCGGTCTGAAATTCGATAGATCCGGGTGTTGTTGTTTTTCTCCCAGTTAATATATTCCGTTACTCAAAGAATAAATCACAAAAAGACGTTTTAGCTTTTTGACCTTCGGTAATATTAAGTTTTTTAAATTAACACTGACTTACTTTGTGTTTTAAAATGTTCGAGCCTTTGGTTTCGTTTTGATACAAATTCCACAATTTAAGATGGAAAAAATGGAAAAAATTTCGAACGCCACATTAAGTTAAGGACACTTATTCAACTTGGATCTGGCATAAATAGCCGATGACTATTCGTGTAGTTGTGGTGCGCATATTCATCAGATATCTGACACCTCTACCGTAGTATCAGGAAACGATCACCAATCCTTATGGACTAATTGACCTCTTTAACTAGGATGTTACTATTTTTATGCTTTGCCAGATTGTTTTCCGGAACATTGTGAGTTAAGTTCTTCCCCAATACAAATTATATGATGTTACAAGAATCACCTTAAACTTAACACAATCGTTTATAGTACATATATCAATGTGTAATGTAACGCTATAAGAATACCACAAATCATCACACTATTAACAATGGTGTTATATTAATATCTTTGCCAATTTATGGGGGTAAAGAAAGGGATGTTTATGATATTACCCATATTTGTTCCGTTCCCAATCAATGCCAAATCTTGAGAATTGTCCAACAGGTTCGGTTCATATTTACGACATATCATAACAACAGGTTTTTCATCGTGTCCTTAAATGAAAGATCAAAGGTCACGTCTGAAAATTTATCAAAAGATGAGACCTCTGTGGAAGCGCGAACGTTAATGTCTTTTAGACATCTTCTATCATAAAAATACTTGCTGTCAATTGAGTCATTCTCCATCGTTTTATAATTATAGAATTTATGTTGATCCAAAGAGTAAATAAAAAAGAGCACATATTAACCATGAAATTGTTGATCCCAGCCAAGTCGTGTGTGTGTATGGTTACAGTGACCATTTCCTACCACGGTCCTGTTTAAGAGTTTAGTTGGTCTGATAACACAGAATAGTGACGATAGGTCATTCAACGAATTTAAATGTCTGTCAATAATGTTTATCGTTTAACATTTTACATTGGAACATATTTTTCTCCTCGTGCGATATAACGATAAAGCAGTGATCTGCGATCGTGACATGTGACTAAGGACAATCAATGCAGTCACCGTATCCTGCTACACTGGCCTGTTAGAGTTATTTATGGGTTGACCCTCTAGATATGAATCTGATGTGTGTTAAAGAATTTAATCATCAACAGTCAAAGACAATAAGAAACAAACTAGACGACCTTATGCTTCACAAAAATTTAGATATGATAATTGGTGATATTGTCATTATCTTCGCTATTTGATATACTGTGATGTTTACTGTGACTTTGAGGACAGTAGTCAGGTTCTATACTGTTAGTTTAAACATTGTCACAGTAAAATACTTGTTAATTGATAAACCTTCATTCCTAAATATGATGACATTACAATATCGAACAAATGAGATAAATATTTTGTGATTTCTGGTATGCTTCTATTTTTGAATAACGATAAATAATTGTAAATTAAATAACAGAAACAATGATAGAGAGGAATAAAGAAAATGGTTAGATATAAATGCAACTTGCAGATTAGAATATATACATATATCATGTAATCGTAATGAAAAACATAGCATTATGTTTATGCAGGTAAAGTTAAAAATATTCATGATTTAATGATTAAGCAAATGCAAATATCCAACGTCAGATTTCAACAGCCATAGTTTGCACTGTAGGGTAAAGAATACCATTAATTCTAACAGCAATTCAAAAGAATGAAATGTAATGTAAGGTATGATATTAATTCCTACATCTACGGAATACATGGTGTGTTCGTACTGTATGTATTTCGTACACAAATCAATCTATTAAGTACAACGAAGTTACATTAAATATTTTGAAATGAAATAATCAGATTTAAGGTAGTGAATTAGCTTCCGCTGTATGAAAAAATAAAACAAATATATTTCTATTCCCACTGAGTTTCAAAAATCAAAATTATCTATTGCAAAAGTTTACACATCGTTTTAGCGATAAGATAAATTAAAAAAAAACATTAGATAATGAATCTATTTAAAGTTTTCTCGTATAGAACAATAAATCAACAGAAATAATATTGTTATATTGATATATAACTTTTTGTGATTAACATGATGCACATACAAGGATGCATCTGTATCAAATACATCAGCTGGAAACAAAATACACCTAAATAGTTCGAACATTTTTTCAACAAAAATACAAATCTGTTGCCCGGTTTGTGATCAGAACGTATGAAATGACCCTCATTGGTGCAGTAGAATAGTGATTTTGTCAAATATTAAAAAGAATCACTTTCTGTAAAACGCATTTAGGGACAAGTATATCCCATCTGGTGTTTATAGGGAGGCAACTTTTACTTAAATACAGGGTGTGTGTTACACATATAACAGGGTATACTGTTGAGTTTTTATCCATCCGACAATGTTCCTTTCTCCTATGTAAACCAGGCAAAGTATGGTTATCTGAAGAATCATAGACAATTTTTACTTTACATAGAATGTATAAGAAAATTGTCATTACCAATTTGCATATATGAGCTTGCAGTGTTTAAATATGAGCACAGGAAGCCATTATTGTTTTATATGTTTAAATGATATGTAGATTAAGCGTATAGGAAACTACAGTAAATACTGATTAAGTATGCAATGCTTTGAGTCAGGGAACCTTGTATGTATACCTTGATATGTATACCTAGTGTAGTTACTGCTTTATTGTACACACGGACAATGAACGCTGTACCCACAAGTGTTTGTAAACTGTGTTGTGGTTAGCATACTATTAGTTAGGCTGATCTGGACGTATCATCGGCGGAGTAACGCAAAGGCGCAACGTATTTAGAATTGCAGTGAAATCAGTTACGGTTATATTTGTACAACTTCATCGTCATGTAGGATTTACCCGCTTGCTTTTGCTAAGTACTAACCAAGTGTCGCAAAAAAAGCCTTCGATGTCATTGGACCATTAAATGCTTACTCAGTCTTACAAGCTATTTTGGAGCCGTTCCCTGTGTTGAGACAAGTAGAGTATTAATAGCTATTTAATCCATTGATTGGAGTGTCCTGTTTGGCTGTGGATAGTTTCTGTACCTGCTGTGGACACTTCCGTCAAACGCAGACACACTCATGGATATAAACAAGCGAGAATGATAAAATTATGAATGGACCTTTGTAACGAAAGATTCGATTGGATGTTATCTCTAAAATAAGGTCGGGTCATTCGAAAGATGGCTGCCTGTAAATCTGACTTTGAAAGTTTGGAGAGTATATTTGAGGTAAGATTCTGGCATCAGGTTTGTATCACGAGGATGTGCGAGGTACGTGTCTATTTCTGGGCTGATGCCTTGCTGTTTTACTTTATATGTGTATCGTGCAGTTAAATATACCTGTTACAAAAGGGTATGATTTCCATGAAGTATTGAACAGATTTAAATCTAGTCTTTAGTCCAGTCTATAGTTAAATAATGATAATTACCTTCGAGAAGAAACAGAAACGTTTTAACAATGACTGTTCTTTGAGGCCAGTGACAGAAATAGTCACATTTCTTATCCTTGTGCTGTGCTAAACTATATCTATTTACCGTATTGCAGTATGTTGTTTTGATTGTGTTGTGACAAATTCATTGTGATTCATTTGTTAATTTGGACAATAAATATATGTAACTGATTGGATAAATACCAAGGCTATATGAAATGGCACGTTAAACGACTATAGATTGGTGTGTTGCCATTTCAATGCACGTACCTGAAATGTGTTATATCCTAAACGAACAAACATAATCAACAGGGCTGCGAAACAACTGTTTGCTATGTTTTGCAAGAGAATGCAAGAGGATTGGTACTGCAGTTGAATTTATGTGTTTGTTTCTAGATGGCATACCATGATGTCATATTGCAGCAAAATGCAGCACATTTGATTGTGAACATCTTGGATATATGTCGGTTTTGAAATGTCAGGAAACAATTATATCACAACTGTAAACGAGACACAACAGTATATATTTACTGTCCAACAAAATAGTTCGTCGACAACTTACCGAAGAAACCCGGGATACGGATCATTAATTCTGTCGTTTACCAGCATGGTATTATACGCATTTCATTGTAATGGACAGGGGTCAGTTTTTCCGGACAGTACTTGGTTGTTCTATGTCTATAATTTACTACGTAGTGGTATTGTTTACTACATAAAAGGCATTATAGTCCAGACTCGATTACTTCCGTAGCCATTGTCACTTATAACGGGTATCGGGTATCACAGAAATAGCTCGTGAGCATCGCGCCCGGAATACCACCCATCCTATGGAGAGATTGTCCGGATTATATCATAACGCCTCCGTATACACAGTGTTCCTTTATTATCATTGTGTAATGTACGAAGTAAACTGTCGAATAAGATGTGGTTATACAATCTATTCAAACAAATATTTCTCACGTGAAAACTTAAATGTTATGATAAACCTGTAAATGTGAGTATGTTTTACTCTTTGCCGTTACATTAAGTGAATAACTAACCCCCCCCCCCCCCCCCCCCCAAAAAAAAAAAAAAAAATAAAATAAAAATGATGGAACTTTGTTCAAAGCCATTGTCATAAGATATATAAAATTATACCGGTAATTGATGATCATGATGAGTACAATTCACACTTGATATGGGAAAATGTTTCAAAATAACAATAAGTGGTATGCGAGTACTTAGCTGACCACCCTGAACTTTAAGGGTGGGAATGT